TTTATCACTGGCGACAACTCAAAAATGTGTGTAGCCGGTCGCGCTATGGGCGTGGGGGGCGACTCGTCATGGACCGCATTCCTGTCTACAAGTCGTTTGTTGAGTTTGAAGCGCCACCGCTCGTATCCGCTCCGCCCGCGCCAAGTGGCCTCGCCGTCGCCAGTGTGCCAACGCCGACCGCGTCGATACTGGCGACACTCGGCGCCTCCCGCCAGCAGCGCATGGAAGCGATCTACAGCATGAGCGACTCGGAGGACGAGCTCGTCACCATGGACACGGTCGAGGAAGATAAAGTCCGGTCGCTCAAGTACACGCTGGCCATGTAACCCGCAATCCCTTTTATTTGATGTCTATTTCCAGCACGGCAACGCATTTATAAAGCCGGCAATGGCGCTGTACCGCAGCTTGGAGACGGACGTCACGGCCTTCTTCATTGCGCAAGGGACGATCTTCGAGACGGTCGTCAACAGCCTCGGCGCGCGGGTGCACACCCTCGAAGAGAGACCTGCCGCTGTCGTTGGCGAGGCGAGCTTGGAAGCCCGCGTCGCGCGCCTCGAGGATCTGTGGACATTGCTGGTAGACTCGCTGCCTTCTCGCCACCTACGCTAGCCTCGTGTGCTAGACTCAAGAGGTGCATGGTCTGCGCACCCAATGCCAAGCCTCCACCGTACGCTTCCTCACATGGATCAACATGATGGCACCGAATGGCGTAGGGGACGATCACAGCGCTCGTACTTTGACGTCTCGCTTCTTCGCCGAGAGAAATTATTATGTGTAGAGCCACCAAATCGACGCGCAGTCCACGAGTCTAGCGTCCCATGCGGCACGGCTCGACGCACAAAGCTTGGCGCTGGAAACCCAAGAAGCCGCACTCGAGGCGCAGGCTATCGCGCAAGCAACCTTCATCGACAATTGCCCGCAGCAAATCCTCGCCGACGCAATGCAAAAGATCACGCTCGGCTTGTCTACAGAGGAGCTCGCTTCGCTTTCCCAGCAACTCTGTTGCTTGGAGAACGCCCTCGAGCATGCGACGGAGCCCACGGACGAGATCCGAGCGTCGCTGACGCAAGTGCACGCGGACCTCGCCAGCATCCCGACCGACCCCACCGCAACGCCTGATGAGCTGGTGCTGGTGCCAATGGTTGAGCGGCTACGCAAGAGCCTCGCGCACCTTGGCACCAACTTGGACGCTCTCGCAACGGTTCCTGCACGCAATGCAGAGACGCAAGGAGCGACGATGATGTACGATGTAGAACGATGCGACACCCGGGATGGATGGCGACGAGAACGTCGATGGGGATACGTGGCAGTCGGTGCTGTCGTCGATCTCCCTCCCCACGGCGTTGGCCAAACTTGAAAGCGGTAGCATCGCCAAGGAGCTCGAACAGCAAGCGACAGTAGCGTGGCCTGCCATTGCTGTGTACATCATCAAATGGAAACATAGCCCATGACACCGCTCTCGGTGCACGAGGCACTGGCCGAGAAGGTGCAGCGGCTGCTTCAAGCGGCGGACGACCAACAAGAAGCTTACGACGCACGCATGTTTGCCGTCGCAACAGAGCTTCAGGTGCGCTTGACGATGGATGGAAGTCGAGACTCGAATTGACTTGTAGACGCTGCAAGACCACGAACGGGAGCTCGAGGCACAGCTTGCGGCTTGTCCTCGGCAAGAAGACGTGCTGCAGCAGCTTAGTCTTCTCCAAGACAAAGTATTCCTGATCTACGCTCGCACCGACTCCTGGACGATGGATAAGTTGATAGATCGCCCAAGAGACCAACACAACCTCGTCCCATGCAAATGCAGCGCTGGACGAGCTTCGCCAGCAGTTCCAGACACTTCCGACCTCGGACATGGTCTCGCAGCTCCACGCATCACTCAAAACCAAAGCGGACAAAGCCGACATTGCTCGGTACGTTATAATCATCGGTAACCTACGTCGACAATCCTCCTATTAGCTTGCAACGGGACCAGAATGACCAGCAGTCGACCGTCGGCCTGTCCAAGATTCCGCTCAAGTGTCTCTCTTGCGACCAGTACCTTCCGCGGCCCAAGTTTGCATCGACGAACGAGGCATGGAATCCGGCAGCGCCAGTCGTGTCGCCCCGCAACACGGTGAACCTTCGACCGATCGAGGTGCCGAAAAGAGATCGTGCGACCACAGCCAGTGCACTCCGAACAAGCGCCGGCGGTCCGTCTCGCGCGATCGTAGGTGCCAAACTGACCAAGCCGCGCGTTGAATATGTCGAGAACGTTGTCACCAAGCTCGAGAGACCCCGTCCAATGACGGCCGAGCCGCGCGGGTATACACTGCAGAGCACGCCGTTCGAGATGGCGATGCCGGGCGACGCAACACCCTCTTCGGCGTCGTCGTCGTCGTTGGTACAACCTTTTTGTCGAGTGTCTGTGGTGACTGATGCTTCTCGTGTAGAGACCACCCACGTCATCGCTGCTCTCGGACAAGCAGCGCTACTCGTTCTATTACCTTGGCAACAACAACAGCAACAACACCAACAACAACACAAGTGGCTCATAATCGATCAACCGTTTTGTTGAAGTGGAGTGATATGGAGGTGAACAACGTAGCGATCCACTATATTGAGTTTCGGGTATGTAGTTCAATGGTAACAAACTAGCAGCTGGGCTAGTGAAGCACTCGGCAGAGAGAAAGAGGAAGAAGAGAAAGAACCAGAAGCGCACACCCGCAGAGGAGTGTGTCCGAGAGGCAGGCAGTTGAGAAGTGAGGCCACGAGGGCTGCTCACGACCGGCTCCGGAATATATTGATATTACGGAGCCTGGCATAGTGAGATCGAGTGGTAAAAACCTTCCACTGGGGAAAGAAAAAACAACCATCCTCGTGAGTGGAAACCGCCGCGAGGGCTGGTGAAAACCACTCGGATCCCAGCGTCGGGTGGATCCAACGGCCGAAACCAACGAAGAGTCGAGGTCTTCCGAGTTGGCGAACGAACGTGTGGAGTTGCGTTCTTCACAAATGGAAATCGATCGGCATGGAACATCCTAAATTAAAGCTAATTGCATATAAAATAATAGACGGCTAGATATCACAAGGGCGACGACACAAGCTTCTTCTTTGTGCGCGTACATTAATAACGCTTGGAGTTGCGGAAGTGTTAACCGAAGTGGGGGCCACCCGACTGAACGTACGGATGGTTAATCACTGTCGTCATCGCCGGTCGCTCGGCGGCGTCCAAGACGAGAAGTAGCTCGAGCATCGCGATCGCGTCGTCTGGTATGGACGCAGCGAGACCCCACGCTGAGATAAGGGCTCGAATGCCGTGCCGCTTGAGAAACATGAAGACATCGTCGGCGGGGGTTGCCACTTCGACGAGTGGTACGCCCGTGAGCAGCATCCACAGCAGAATACCGAGTGACCACACGTCTACTTTGGAAGCGTCGTACGCGCCGCCGTGGTGCATCTCGGGGGCCATGTAGTAGGGCTTGCCGACGGCGGCGGTCGCCTGCGCGGGGAGCGCGACAGCGAGACCAAAGTCTCCGATCTTGAGGTCCCCGTCAGCGTTGACAAAAATGTTTTCAAGCGATAAATCGCGATGGGCCACTCCCGCAGCGTGCACGTGGGCGAGACCGGTCGCGATTTGAGTGAAGTACGCTTTGGCCCGTCGCGGCGAGCAGTGCTGGGTCGGCATGGCCTTCAAGAACGCGTAGAGGTCCCCCCGCGCGCAGTGTTCCAGGGCAAAGTAGATGTTCTTGTTGTCTGAAAAGATATCGTGGAGCTGGATAACCTGCTGGCAATTGGACGCGCGCAGATGCTTGAACGCCATGGCTTCGTTGGCAATCGAGTCGAGTGTAGCGCGCGACCGGTTGACTTGCTTGACGACGTGGAGTTGGTGCGTCGCACGATGACGGCACAGCAGGATCGCCCCGTCCCGTGCTGGTGACAGCGCTGATTCGACAGTATAGGCCAACATGATGCGATCAAACCAAGGAAATAATTGAAGTGAGAGGGCGGTCATGGCTCGTCGCTGCGTCGGGAAACACCGTAAATATCTCGTGCTAAAGCCGCTGCGGCGTCACATAGAGAGGGCCGAAACGTCCACTGCCCGACTGTTGGCGCGAGGTGCGGAGAGCGTGCGATGAGGTGCTGTGGCATGGACGTGGATACGGCGTTTCAATATATACGCCGCTGGGATTGGTCCATATCCAGTCGCTTTAGCCAATTAAACTACTGCAATTCAAACGGGCGTCGCGGATTGGTGGGCGCAAAAAACTCACCTCGAACGGCGACCGTTGCGCCAGTCGTCATGACCAAGATCCGCGCTGCATCACCATGATGCGTTGTTACCCCTAAATGCAGTCGTTATTGGGATTGGATCTTGGGTTGCTGCATCGAGTCTTCCAGTCCCACACCGATACGCGCTCTTTGTTGTTCGCGAGGTGCGTTCATTCCCTTGGTTTAATTACCTTGATGTAGCGAGTAGCTTCCGTGGAATTGTTCCGAGAGGAGATGGCCAGTGCTATGCACGTGCTTTGGAACCACGTGCCATGTTCCGATCGACCTTGATG